AAATAGTTAGAATCGATGGGTTAAGTTCCACTTTTGCCTAGGCACACACATAAGCGTTCAACAATCAGCTTTGTAGGGCGATTCTGCCTGCAATTCACATGTAGTTGTGCATGAACAGCAATCCATTTATCATGCAAATTTTACATCAGCTGTGTTTTTGGATCTGCTGGCTCCATAGTCTCTCTATACAACACAAAATCGCACTCAGACATAATCACACAATCACACAGGACCCTTTTGTAAAAATTCAGTGCGGATCAAAACACACATATCTGAACACCCTCCATAGTAAAACATATTCTGCCAACTGTCATCCGATACCTGCTGATAAAATGCATTCTGAATCACATATATGTGAACCAGGGCTTAAAGTGGAACTAAACCCAGCAATTTAACAGTTTCAAAAAACAATTACACTCCTGGCATGTGCCCGGAATGGGCTTGTGCTGTCAACCAAACTGTCAAATCATCAAATGGTCAGTGTCACAACTGATCACATGTGCAGCATCATGGCAGTTGAAGATCAATCAGAGGCTAAGATGGGAACTGGGGGGGGAGGGGGTGTTGTGCAGGGAGCCTTCCCCACCAGCTGAACTTCAATCCATCTAGGGCCGGCTTTACAGTACGCCAATTTTTCGTTTCTATCTCCCCCACCACTGGAGAGGTCATCTAAGAATGCATAAAGACATTGGTAAGTGCTTGTATTGTACTCCCAAAGCCTGTTTCAGTAGCTGTTTTGATACTGACAGGTATATACTGAAACCCATTCAAATCAAAAAACCCACCTCCAAAAATACAACTAAAACTCCCCCACAACACAATCAACACCCTCCCCTGAAGGTGTACAAAATATTATATGTGAAAGTGTTATCCAAAGAAACAGAAAATCAAACAACAGTGAATTCCAATCATTTGATATGAGCAGTTTTAATAAAGGTCATATTATTATGTAATTGGCGGTATTACACTATTATTGTCCCTCATGTTTTGTCTCTGGATGGAGTGAAGTGCTTGGAGATACTTGGAGTACTGTGACCGAGGAATCCAGGGAGTATCGTGCAGATCATTTATGCTTGGGGAAGATCTGCAGGAGAGCTATCCTGTTCAGCTTTTGGATTATTATAGGCATGCTTTATTGGGATTGTTGGTATATACATCGGGGATATCGCTGGAAGAATTGATTTGATTATATTCTACAGCCTGAATTATTTTTCACTGTGAAGAAATAGGGAAGTTAGGGTTAATAGATGATGGACTAATTGATGATTGGACTTCACTGTTGTTGTTTGATTTTCTGTTTCTTTGGATAACACTTTCACATATATCATATACTGAAACCCCATAACCCCAAATTAGGACATTAATGTTACCTAATTAGCGCTTATTAGAGATAGTTTAATAATTAAACTTTAATTATCAGGTACTTGATCACCACTTTTACTTTCTGCTATAAAACATATCCCCCCAAAAAAAATAATAAAAAAAAAAAAAAAAAAAAAAAAAATTTCTTCAGCCAAAATGCATTCTGCTACATGTCTGATTGAAAAAAACGTCCATACACACATATATAATAATAACTGTATTGACTGGTTTGTGTGAAAGTTACAGTACCTACAAACTATGGTGTATATACTGGAATTTTTATTTATTTTTTTTATACTACTAATGGTGGAGGTCAGCGACTTATAAACAGGACTGGATAGTGCAGCGTGGAATCTGACACTGACACTTGGGAGAACTGGCACTGACATCACCAGTGACAATAATACAGTGATGAGTGATAATAATATTCACTGAGCTAATGATACTGGCTGGGAAGGGGTTAACATCTAGGGCAATCAAGAGGTTAAATGTGCGCCTATTTGTATTGTGTGTAAAGTGTGGTGCTTTTACTAAGAGATCGCCACGTTTCTCATTCCTGCTTTGCACAGAGATCATTCCCTGTGTACAGAGCTCTGTGTTGATTGTCAACACAGAGCTCTAGGTTGTGATTGTATCGAGACAATTAACAGGTCCTAGCCGTGAATCATTGGCTGGAACTTACTGACAGGCTTCTGCTGTGTACAATCACAGTGGGTGCTGGCCAGGGAGCGCGCATGTGAAACACGAAAAGTAGACAGCGACATACAGGTACATAAAACTGCCTATGGAAATAAGGGGCATCTGTAGATAAAAACAAACTGTGCAGCTCTGACTAACGTTGAATAATGCCCCTGCTATAGGTGTAGGCTGTTTACTTACCTCATGAAGCCTGACTGGTAAACTCCCAAGACGTTGCTAAGGATGTTTCTAAGAGACGCCAAGCTACTGTTCACCTTCACCATCACAGGAACGAGCACTTTCTACAATTCACACCCCCTTACATGCTCTCTCCCCCGATGCAATAGTGTTAGAGAGCTCACTCCTGTGTGGTGGAGGTGAGCAGTAATAACTTGGCATGCCCTAGCCATCTCCTAAGAGTTTTCCAGTCAGGCTTCAAAAGGGGACGTAAATGACCTACAACCTACGGCAAGGGGATTATTTAACCACTTTTTGGGCCGCCAGAGTGTATAGGTGGCAGCTACAGGACCAGCAACATACCCATATGTCGCTGGTCTTTTGCCAAGACAGGAGGGTGCTGCACGTCCGAGTGGCCGCGCAACCCTTCCCCACCACCGGACAGAGCAGAATGAGAATCCCGGGACCTGGTGATCACGTAATCACTATGCGATCACATTGACAATGAAGCTTTTATGAATCAATCTGATTCATAAAAGCTTTGCTTTTGTTCCTGGAGAGCTGCGATTGGTCCACAGCTCCCACATGAAACATGGGGCCAATCACAGCACCCTGTACCATGTGACCAGCTGGAGCCAATCACAGATAACTATTATATTGAACTGGTATGAACTTAACACATTCATGACAGTTCAAAGAAAGCTTTGCAATGCAGAGCAATGATGCTCATTGTTCATGGTGTGATCAGAATGGTGTCACTGCCTACTGCTATCACAGGGGATATTTACATTCCATGTGATAACAATAAAAGTGACCAAAAAAAAAAAAAAGCAAAGTAATTACAAGAAATGTACTCCCACCCTCATGCTCGTGCGCAAAGGCAAATGCAAGCGGGGTGCCTTGGCAATATGTAAACAGATTGCACCATGCATGGGAGATATCACTGTGAGCATCAGATCGAGGGCAGTAATTCTAGCACTAGACCTCCTGTGTAAATATAAAGTGGTGACCTGTAAAGGGTTTTAAAGCATTGCCTATGGATATTACAAATTTACATAATTTGTCGCTGTTGCACGGGCATGCGCAATTTTAAAGCAAGTCATGTTTGGTATCCATTTACTCGGTGTAACATCGTCTTATATTTTATCAAACAATTAGACAATACATTGTTTTTGTGCATTAAAATTCTAAAAAGTGTATTTTTTCCGATTTGAACATAGCTGATCACGTGATGTGGTAGAAGGCCAATCACAGTGGCCTTTTCCCAATTGATCAGCTGTGTCCAATGACACAGCAGATCATAATGTAAATACAGTTGCCGGTTATTGGCAGCACTTTCCTCACGCTGTCACAGTGTGAGGAAAGGCCTGCCGATAACTGGCAATTGCGCATTACCTCAGTAACCAAAGTTTATTAATTGTAAAATAATACTCACAAAGTGAGTATCTACCCCCATGATGGGATCCGCGCTGGCTTTCTACTTTTCAGGTCCCTTTGAGGACCTATATGCCTGATTTTATTCGCGGTTTGTGAGTATTATTTTACAATTAATAAACTTTGGTTACTGAGGTAATGCGCAAGGTTGGTGCGTGTCTCGTTTTTGTTTCGATTTGGAGTATTGGTCGGGCTTCCCCAGCCTTATTTGGAGCTGCACAACTCTACATGCATTGGTGGTCGATCTTTCCAGGTCTGGTTCCATCTATTCGCCACCCGCCTGAGTCCTTGAGCGTAGGAGATTTCGCTTATGATCTGATAACTGGCAATTGTCAGACAACAGATTGGCACTGATCAGTGCCACCCAGCAGTGCCTCCCACCAGTGCTGCCATTCAGTGCCCATCATTGCTGCATATCAGTGCAGCATTATCAGTGCCACCTCATCAGTGCTGTCTATCCATGCCACCTCATCAGTGCTGTCTATCCATGCCACCTCATCAGTGCTGTCTATCCATGCCACCTCATCAGTGCTGTCTATCCATGCCACCTCACCAGTGCAGCATTATCCATGCCACCTCATCAACGTACATCAGTGAAGGAGAATAATCACCTGTCTATACATTTTATAATAGAAACAAAGAAAACCTTTTCTTTTATTCAAATTTTTTACGCTTTTTTTGTTTATAGCGCAAAAAATAAAACACCCAGTGGTGATTAAATACCACCAAAAGAAAGCTCTATGTGAAAAATAAAATGATAAAAATTTCATATGGGTACAGTGTTGCATGACCGGGCAATTGTCAAGTGCGACAGCGCTGAAAGCTGAAAAATTGGCCTGGGCAGGAAGGGGGTAGAAGTGCCCTGTAGGCAGGTGGTTTAGGAGTCAGCTGTCAGTGTGCCCCCCGTCCTCCTCCACACACAGCTCACTGCTAGGACATTGTACAATGACAGCCCCTCTGCTCCTCTACCCCTCACACCTCAGCACTGTTCCAGCAGGTTGTTTACTTTCCACTTCTAGTCCCTGTAGGGCATCAATGAGTCATGCTGGGAGTTGGAGTCCCCCAGCACGCTCTCAGCCTATCCCCAACATGTAACCTTGCCTCAATGTGAACTACGACTCCCACAATGCCCCGCACCTGAGCCAACTCCGTGGATTGTAGTTCCACACCTTCCGCGAAGAACGGAGACGGAGCAGAAAGGGGGCGGGGAAGAACTACACTTCCCAGCAGGCTGTGCGGCTAAAAGCACCAAACGGGGTCCGATACCAACTTGCAGTAACTGCACGGCTGAGGGCATTCTCCGCTGTGCGGGTCGGTGATCACTGGAAGGGTCCTCCGGGTCCCCTTACCTATGTCAATGGCGAAGCGCTTGGCGTTCTCCAGGTTGCGGAATATCTCGTCGGGCGGCAGAGTGATGCTCTTGTCCATGCTGGCTCCACTCTTCCCTCTGCCTCCGCTGGCCGCCATGTTCGATCTCCAGCTCCGCTGTGTATGGAGTATGATGATGAGGGGGCGGAGCCGGCTGCACATGGGGAGGGCACGTGTGTCTGTGTACATCGCCTGGTCTATGGGGGCGACATTACTTTATATGACCCCTGTCCATGCTGGATCATTCATTTCCATGTGTGTCAAAATCACATGATGCCAATGACCTCCCTCCCCCATGATTTATTTGTGAATCACTTTTCAGGTGATGAGGCCATGTCATGTCTCCATGACACCTAGTACATAATAATGGCCTGGCAGCTCCATGTGTCCCTACCTGTGCTGTGGTATCTGGCACTCAGACTTTGGTAGCAAATCTTTGAAGACCTGCGAGTTCCGAGGTGGGGCCTCCATGGATCAGACCTGTTTTCCAGCAGATCTTCCATTGGACTGAGATCTGGAGGCATAGCACTTGTGGCGTGGCCCCATGGCTGCAGGGGACTCGTGTGGCCCCCTGTGCACCTGAATAAGAGGAGCGGTGGGGGCGGCATATAGAGGAACTGTTCTCTCCATGTTCTTCCTGCAGTTGCTTAATACCAGCAGGAAGGGGAGGAAAAGCCAGCATTCAGCAGCTGCAGGAGGAACATGGAGAGAACAGTTCCTCTATATGCCGCCCCCACCGCTCCTCCTGTCCATCATTTCTCTGCTGCCCTGCGCTCTCCGGACCCCATGCTCTGCCCCTGTGCCCTCCAGCCCCATTCTCTCCAGCTTCCCCGTGCTCTCTGGCTCCCCATGCTCTTTCCCGAACCCCCCTCTGTCAGGATGGAGAAAGGGAAAGGGCCAGTAAATATCTTGTTTGCCAACCCCTTCGCTTTCTGAATGGAGATTCAGTGATCGGTACTGATCACTGACTCTGTCCATTCATAACTGAAACATAGTAAACACTTTTAGTTTGTGAATGAAGGGGAAGCTCTGTATAGAGCTATTCCTGCCCATTCATTCAGTGCAGATGTGGAGATTGAGGGCTGTGTCCTCAATCTCTTTTCTCTGTCTCAAAGGTGGAACATCAGAGGTCTGCTTTGACACCTGATATCTCACCAAAGCCCCCCAATGGGGCTTATAAAAAATTGTAAAAAATATCGTGGAAAAAAATGGTTAAAATAAATAGGAAAAAAAACTACTGACACCAGTGGTGGAACTACCAGGGTCACAAAGGTTGCAATTGCAACCGGGCTCTAACGCTTTGCTATCGGCTCGTAGGAAGGGTCGGGGGCCCTTCATGGTTTCTTGCACTGGGACCCAGAAGGTTCTAGTTATGCCACTGATGGGAACCCTGGCTGGACTGCGGCTACACAGCCCCATAAATAAGAAACTGCACTACCCTGTGTGTTCTGACACCTTTCTATCAGAGGCAGTATTAACCTTTTCAGTAGTTTGAGCTACAGTAGCTCTTCTATTTGATCGGACTACAGGGGTCAGACTTTGTTTTCTATACCCATGCCTCTGTCACCAGTTTTCTTCCTTGGACCATTTTTGGAAGGTTCTGACCACTGCAGATTTGGAACATTCCACAAGAGCTGCAGTTTTGGAGTTCCTCTGACGCCGTCGTCTAGCCATTCCAACTTTACCCTTGTCAAAATCACTAAAATCCTTAGCTTGCCCATTTTTCTACTTTCAACACATCAACTTCAACCTCTATGACTAAGCCCTGTGGGTGGGGTGAAATGCATCAGTGGGACGTGGACTGGGAGGATCCAAGGTGAATCCCTTATCTTACCTTTCTGTACTTGGTCTGTGTTTCCAGCATGCAGCATCTCATTGGCTGTTTTAGTGTACATCAACTTCAGGGACCACATGTTCACTTGCTGCCTAATATATCCCATCCACTTTCAGATGCCATTTTAACAAGATAATTAAAGTTATTCAATTTATCTATTAGTGGTCATGATGTTATGGTTAATTGGTGTAGATACGGCAGCCATCACTCAATGGTGGAATGCAGTCCAGACTCCGACAACGTGAAAGTCCTATCTAGACCACCAGCCAGTCCCCAACGCAGGTCCCTTGCCAACATTGCTGCCATTCTCGGCTAGGACTTCTGCCATCCAAGTAACCAATGACGTGTGTGCCCCACTCCCAGTGTCACAGGAGGACAGCAGTAGAATTTCTTCTGTGTAGACCTGCAGCTAGTTCTGCCTGGTGCTAAAAAGTGATGGGGACATCTGATGTAAGGGATGAAATATGTTTCCAGCTCACCAATGAGCTTGTTTCAAGGTGCAAAGCTCATTATGTATGTAGGATCACATGGAAAAGCAACATTTCAGGGCCTCACAGGAACTCTTCCATAGGCATCACAACCCTGAAGAAGGGTCTCTGTATGGTCCCAATACTTTGATTTTCATGTGATCATACAAAAATAATTAATTTAGCACTTTGAAACAAGCTCGTGGGTGTGCTGGCAACATATCTTATCCATGTTGTACATTGTGACCATTCGGGAGTCATTGCAGCAACCTTTACATTGTGTGGTAGTATCCAGTATGGTGTGCAAAAGGAATATACCACATACCTGACTTAAGGGGGCATTGTGATCGGGATATCTGATGTAAGGGCACTGTGATGGTGACACTGGATGTCAGGTGGTGCTGTGATGGCAACACCTGATGTAAGGGCACTGTGATGGTAACATTGGATGTCAGTTGGTGCTGTGATGGCAACACCTGATGATGTAAGGGGGACTGTGATGGCGACACCTGATAATGTAAGGGGGCACTCTGATGGGGAGGTCTATTTTTTTGATAGACATACAATGACTATGTATATGAGTCATAGTACGCACATAAGATTCAGACTTATGGAAGAAAGTCTTACTGGCCTGACCTCTCTGAATTTTAATTCAATACCTCTGGGATAAAGATAATAGCACCTATACTCATAAAAAAAAAAAACAAGTTCAAAATTATATTCTAAGACCACCAGTGAAAAGTCGTCATGTTTCAGGGGCTGTCAAATTCCCCCTTCAGTGTCTTATCCAAAACAATATAATATATACTGTAGACAGAAAAGGTTAAGTATACACTCACCGGTCACTTTATTAGGTACACCAGTTTGATTGCTTGGTAAATCAAATTGCTAATCAGCTAATCGCATGGCAGCAACTCAATGCATTTAGGCATGTAGATGTGGTGAAGACGACTTGCTGAAGTTCAAACCGAGAATCAGAATGGAGGAGAAAGGGGACTTTGAACGTGGCATGGTTGTTGGTGCTTGTTGTGCTGGTCGCAGTATTTCAAAAACTGCTGATCTACTCACGCAGAACCATTTCTAGGGTTTACAGAGAATGATCCAAAAAATTGAAAATATCCAGTGAGCGGCAGTTGTGTGGACGAAAATGCCTTGTTGATGTCAGAGGTCAGAGGAGAATGGGAAGACTGGTTGCTGGGACATTCAGATGGTAGGGTCAGAATTTGTTGTAAACAACATGAAAGCATGGATCCATCCTGCCTTGTATCAACGGTTCAGGCTGCTTGTGGTGGTGTAATGGTGTGGGGGAAATTATTATGGTACTAGCAAGGTGTACCTAATAAAGTGGCCAGTGAGTGTATATGTATATATTATCACACAAATATATGGAACAGGGAAAACGAAAAATAAATTCTTAGCTGATAACACTCCATATTAAAGAAACGTTTCATATAGAAAATGTATTTGGTCTATTAAAAATGCTCCTCTGTATCTCATGTTAAAGCAGACTTTCACCTCTCAGATTAGAGTTGTCTCAGCTGGCAGACCTGGAGACTATTGACTTATTTGGCAGTTTCCCTAGTATTAAGATCAACTGGGGCAAGTCAGTGTTGTTCCCTTTTTCCCAGTCAACCTGTTTAACCACTTATAAAGAAGTGGAAAATTTGTTGATCTCTTGATACCAAGCCAAGGTCAGGTAGACCAAGAATGATTGCAGCCACAACTGCCAGAAGAATTGTTCAAGATACAAAGAAACATTCACAGGTAACCTCAGGAAAAATAGAGGCTGCTCTTGAAAATGTGTGGTTGCTTCAAGGAGCACAATACAATGATACTTGAACAATAATGAGCTGCATGGTTGAGTTGCCAGAAAGCCAATTCTGCGTCAATGCCACAAAAAAGCCCTGTTGCGATATGCCCAACAACACCTTGACACATCTCGCAGCTTCTGGCACACTAATCTGGAGTGACAAGATCAAAATAGAGCTTTATGGTCACAGCCATAAGCGCTATGTTTGGCGAGGGGTCAACAAGGACTATAGTGACAAGAATACCTTCTGCATTGTGAAGCATGGTGGTGGTTCATTGATGTTTTGGTGGGGTGTGAGCTCTAAAGGCAAGGGGAATTTTATGAAAATTGATGGCAAGATAAAAGCGGCATGTTATCGGAAAATACTGGCAGACAATTTGCATTTGTCTGCACAAAAGCTGTGCATGGGATACTCTTGGACTTTCCAACACAACACTAATTCTAACCACAAGAAGTACAAGAACAAATTGACCCTCCAGTGGTTACAGCAGAAAAAGGTGAAGGTTCTGGTGTGGCTATTACAGTCTTCTGACCTTAATATCTTCAAGCCACTCTGGGAAGATCTCTAACGTGTGGTTCATGCAAGACAATCAAAAACTTTGCATGGCCTGGAGGCATTTTGCCAAGACGAATGGGCAGCTATACCACCTACAAAAATGTGGGGCCTCATAGACTACTATTACAAAAGATTGCATGCTGCCATTGACGCGAAAGGGGGCAATACACAATATTAAGAATTAAGGGTATGTAGACTTTTGAACAGGGGTCATTTCATTTGTTACTTGTTGCCATGTTTTGTTTATGATTGTGCCATACTGTTATGACCTACAGCTGAATATGAATGCCATAAGAATAAAACAAATGTGTTTTGCTTGCTTAATCATGTTTTATCATTTATTAAATACATTTTTTAAGGTAATGCACTAGGCCGGTACACCCACTGTTTGTTTTTTCCTCCATTCAGTACATTTGGACTTCCGTGGTCTATTGAGGGCAGCATGGCGTGCACATTCCAGGAGATTCGTGGTACCTGGAATTCTTCGGAGCATGTGCGCTTCCTTCCTTGGCCTGAGGAAGGAGTGTGCATGCTCCAAATACGCGCATTCCATTTTCCAGTGAAGTCGCAGCTGTCAGCCACCCTGTGTGTCTCTTTGCAACCCCTGGAGCCCTGGAATCCACCAGCACAGCTGGGATGAGGAGGCCCCTATGGCTTACCACTATCTGACCTGCACCACTGGAAGACAATCAATGCCTACTTTCTACATGCGCTTGCATTACCTAATCTTGTGAGTTGATTATTACATTTGTCTTTTTATGGAAATCTACACTTAGACTGAAGCCGCTGTTTTGTCTTTCTTTTTTGTCCACTGAGGTTTATGGGGCTAGTCTCCCAGCCAGAGAGTTAGGCGGGTCCCAATACACCTCTACAAAAACCCACTTTCTAGGTGTAATCAGAGTACACTTCCCAAATTTCTCCCCTACAGATAAACAAACTGTAATGTGTGTCTATACATCATTCAAAGGATGTATAAGGTTCAATCACACTTAGCATTATGTTCCCAATCTATAGAAAATCCTGGTTGGTAGCCTTAATCTATTGCTTTGTATTGAGGAACATCTGCTGTAGCCTGCACATCTAATAAAGGATGAGAGCTGTTGCTAATACCCTCAAAGTGATTATAAGGGCTTACCATTCAGGAATTTTATTTATTGGTAATGATGCTCAGAGGAACACAGGCTGTACCCAGGGTGAGACGAGTAACCTCTTGTCCAGGGTTCCTTTGAAACTAAAAATATCAATTGTAAATGGAGATGGCCTTTAATACGTTTCTTGTAAAGTATGTCTGTCTGTTAGGATTGTGTCTCACCATCCATCTCTGCATCTCCAGGACTTCTTCTAGGACTTCCACAACCCCTGCCAGTACTTCCAACGCTGCTCTCACAATCTTTGCCAGTACCTCCAATGGCAATTGCAGAATCCCTGCCAGGATTTCTAGTATAATTTATTGTACTTACACTGGTGTTCACAGGATCCTTGCCAGGACTACTTATGCTCTCAAAAACAATTCTGGGCATGCCCTCTGATCCAAAGGGCATTTAAAGCGGTGCTCCACCCAAAAGGGGAAGTTCCGCTTTAAGGACTGCTCCCCCGCTCCCCATTAAGAATTGGCACCTTTGGGGAGCGGGTACCCGAATTTGACAGGTATCCCACTTCTGGTCTGATCGCCTAGGTGATCGGAAACGGAAGTTGTCCTACCTACCCCTGTAGTCTTTTGGGACACGTGACAGGTCCCAGAAGACTACAGGACCATTCACGAAGTGCAGCGCTACTTGCTCATGCGCAGTGGGTACCCAGCTGTGAAGCCGCAAGCTATCACAGCCGGGTGCCCACACTGAATTTGCTGGCCTCCTGGAATACAGGACGGCTGGTGAAACAAGCTGCGGAGGACACACCACGGGACCGAGGGACAGGTAAGTAGCTGTTTTTTAAAAGTCAGCAGCTACAATTTTTGTAGCTGCTGACTTTTTTTTTTTGATAGGTTGAGTGGAACTCCGCTTTAAGCATCAGCCCTGGAAGTGGCTGGTGCTGTCTCTCCTTACCAGCTACCCTGCTTGTGAGCTTTATTATCCTTCTGACCTCACTATTCTTGTTTTCTGTCTGTCCTGACCCTTGCCTGGACTTGACTTCTCTTTTGATTGCCATCATGCCTGGACCTAACCATTCTCTTGTGGATCCTCTCGTGTACAGTCTTCACATTGTAGCTTTCCTCATCTCGCTCACCCCTTTACACTGTGATACTGGGGGCCACAAGCTGGTACCAGCACACAGTGAAACCCATCTCCAACATCAGGAGCTCTGTTGACAACCATCCAGTGCTTAGACTTGAGTGAGCCAGCCAGGGTTGATGTCATAACACTGTCAGTAGTATAATCTTTCAAAACTGTCCATTGGACTAAACACAAGTACCTAGGGGTTCTTACACATTTATGTTTAAAGTCCCTGCAGTAATCTGGGGACACTCTAATATCAACATACTGACACTTCCTAACAGTGCCAATCACTGGCCAGTTCTTGTCTGTCTCCTACACCTTCCTATTTGCTTTCATTGATAGTTATGGAGTGAATGGACCAGCTTTCAACACTTCCAGAAACTGTAGGTATTCATTTACTAAAGCACCATGAAATGGGGAACCTTGAGAAGGCTTTCAAACATTTGTACTCTCAATTTTTAGCCAAATGGTCAGTGTAATTAAAGCCCAACTCTAGGAAACCTGAAAATTCCTTCGTGTAGTGGGGCTGCTTTTGGGTTGATTGTTCGTATATATCTAGAAGAGTAAAAGCATTTTACTTACCCGATTCTCTGCTCCCCCAGCAGACAGCGCTTCCCCATGCAATGGTGGTAACTGTCCCCTGACGTCATCACATCCAATGCAGGGCAATGAGCCCTGCATTGGTCTTGATGACATCAGGACACTAGACTGCTAGAGCATGGGGTAGAGGATGCTGCAGGGACCATTCTAGCACCCGCAGAGGATCAGGTAAATCTTCTTTTCTATGTCCCCTAGTCCTGAATGAACAGTTAACCCTAGCAGTACAGGAGCAGACCCGCTGTAAGGGAGAATTTTCAGGTTTCCAGGAATTGGGCTATAAAGGGCTTTGGGCTTGTATCAGTGCCATCAATTTGACATCAGTTTTAGATGCCTCTAGGATCATTCAGTATTCATTGACAGGTACATTAAACCTACATTTGACTTGCTTCAAGAGGTTTTTATTTCTCATAGACATGAATGAGATAGCCAAACCTGTTTGAAGCAAACAAAATCTCATCCATCGACAAAGGACTTCATGTGTATGACCAGCCAAAAATGTTTTTTCTGTTTTTGGATAGAGTGAGGAAGGATCATGTCTCTTTTATTTTTTCCCCAGGGCTCTGATAGAGAGATTTTCCTTTGCTAACTGTCCAAGTGACAGACAGGAAGTGAGGTAAAATATAAAACTGACCAAAAAAAAAAAAAATCTGTCAATGGTGCTGTTGGAAATGTTCCCCCACTTTCTGTATGGTAAAACCATTTTTGCTGTAAACATAAGTGAGAACTTACCTCTCTAACAGAGCCTCGGATAGGAGTCCACAGCCCCTCTTCCTCCACTCCAACTTACACAACCAGCAAAAGAAAACCCACTTTTTTTGCATTATGGGTGCATTTATTTTTTATTTGCCAAGGATGGAATTCTCCTTTATGTTCATGTTATTGTTCTTGGAGACATTTTACTCCCCTTGTCTTGTGACAGTACAAGTCCCCCTTTATAACCACACCACTTCAATTTTCTCTATGTAACTGCAGCTTTCTTTCACCCTTTCTGCACCCAGATGCAGACTTTATTACATATAACCAAATATAACATTTAACAAATGAGAAATAAAGCAGACCAGAAGTCAGGGATTTCAGTTTAGGGAATATTTTATTCTGATTTAAATATTCCTTGAGTGTTTTTGGACTGTTTCACAGTGCCTGTGTATATAACACACACAACAATATTCTTTAAGAATGAGAAATACAGTGTAACATATGAAACTGCATCTGCAGCTACAATACAAAAAATATTTTTTACAAAGCCTTTTTATACTTAAGAGCATCTTTACAAAAGACAAATTATTAAAAATGCACAGCTGATGTAATCTACATTCTGCTTTTAAACACATAAGTGTTGTTACAACAATTGTGTCTTCTGCATCCAGAAGACAGTACAATTAATACATATCAACTTTATAAAAGTTACAGTTAGGAGATGGGTACACTTCCTACTTTTACTGTTGTGACACTACAAGTTCAAGCACAGCAGGCTGGTTCTTGTAGTTCCACAAGAGCTGCTGGAGGAAGCTTGCCCCATACTAAATTAGGGCTTCATTTTATAGAATACAGGAGACGATAGTCTACATAATAAAGTCCTTATCAGTTATATGTCAATAGCACTGCTATATACTTGACCATTTCTTAAGGAAATATAGGCTAAAGCACTTGTTAAACAAATGCATTGAAAACATATGAGAAAAGTCATTCACAATATTTGTTTTTTTTTCCCATTAGGACTACTAAAATAAGAATAAGATCAGAAATCTACAAATATTATAGAGAATAAGACTTTTGTTCACTTTCAACATCACTTCTTAGAAGTTACTCATTCCTAATGGAGGAGATGGAGCAGATGGTTCTTCTTGTGTTATGTAATGCTCTCTTATACTATGTTAATGTACAGCCCTCCGTTATATAAACCACATCTATAAAATATTATAGAACCTCAGTACACAGCACAGAGGAAACAAATAGCATGGACATTATCACAAATGATACACATTTGAAAGACCTTGCAAAGGTTAACATCTCTGAGTCCTTTCTAAGTCACAGAGATCTCTCTCTTCAAAGAGAGATGTTATACTGTAATTCCAAGGGAAAACCTGATGCTTTACTGTAGAGTCTTTGTTGCTGTATCCAAGCATACTGATGAAAAATGAACACAGTTCCATACCGACAGAGGTCCACGTGACTTATTTCAAGCCATATCTGTCCCTCTTTGGTTGTAGAGTCCTTTGGCAGACCACTTCACCAAGGCCTCCATATCTTGGCTGGGCTGCTTGCTGCTGTGGCTTGCTTTGAATCGCTGGAAGACGCAAGATAAGGAAAGACAGGAACCTTTTGAGGCACGGTCAAGTGGTTAAGCAACTTTTTCTGGGCCTCTCCACTTTCTGGATAATGGCACAGGAACTGCAATGCTTCTGTAACACACCAGGAATATCCTTGGTTGTAATCCTGTTGTAAACGTTCAACGCTGATCGTTTGATGTTGATCTAGAATAATAATACAATCCATTAGACCAATGTGCAAGAGATGTCACTCAAAAACAGCATCATTAGATGTGACATTATGATAGAGGTTTAGATATAAGAATGAAACTTACTTTTTTGTTGTTGTAAGTAGCTGACTGCCATCTCCAGTATATCAGCTTTCTCTAGCTTGACATTGGGTTGCTGTTTGTGGAACTCCTTTTCCAAGAGAACCTTCAGCTGTTCGATGCTGCTGTTGATTCTGTCTCTACGCATCTTTTCCACAATTGGTTTTCTCAGCTAGAAAAAATAAATAAGGAAAATACATTATTCAACCATTCTCAATACATGGAGAGCAGGCAATCATTTTGATTGGCTGCTGAACGTTACTGTCATGCTGTTTGCCTGTTAAATAAATGCAATTGGTTATCAGAAATGAAACTTACTTTGTTTTTTTCTTTTGGGGAAAGGTGATCCATAGGAACGCTTGTAGGAGCCATGGTCCAAAGTATGAGTAGCTGTGGCTGCTCTAGTGCTGAGCTGGGAGCGATGTGAGATGTACAGCCAGTCCTCCCCTATTTATACTCCAGAGCTTGCATACAAATGCCTGAGTCCCAAACTTGTCAGACTTTCCCACACTCGTATAGCCAATACATGCATTCAGCAGCACAATAGAAGAGGCATCTATTACAGCATGGTAAATTGACTGTGAATTGCCTGAGGATAATACCATGCTCCCAGTGGAGCAGGTGGAGAGTGTGTTAGACAATAGGGACAAGCTTTAGAATGAGGTGGGAGAATGTGGGAAAGAGCTTCCCATCACTGTAATCAAACTGATTCCCAATGAGAACATGGATAGGGCAGCATGCTGCTCTTTTTGAAGTGTGCCTGTCACACACGTATCCTGAAACCAGATGTTGGAGCCCTGGGGTGCACATCTTGCTTCATCACCCTGTGATTCACATCACCTATAAAACTAATTACAATTGTCTTAAATTAGGAATTGTTGTCCAGAGCCGCAAATCTGTTGCACCAGTAAACCAAATAGATTGCTCTAGGGTAATGCACAGTTCCTATGGTACTATGCATGCATTGAAGAAAACCTGCTTCAACAAATCAGTTTATGTTATATATAAATAGTTGTCCTTGTCAAAAAATTACCATCCAATATAACTGTGCGAGATCAGAGTCCATATCAATCAAACTTTTATAGTCACAATTATGAGGCTTGTGATTTGGATTTCTGCCAATACAGACTTTCATGTTCACTGCAATGGTTGCAAAATACATCAGCAGCTGCCTCTAGGTTATGGTGCTTTATTATAGTCGCTTCTTAGATATGTAGTAACTTAGTAAAAATTTGAAATGCTCACAAGAAGAAAAGTTTTTATACATGTGTTATTCTGTGACTCAAGCAAAAACTTTTAGAGCTTCTATAAGGTATTTTTTAATTGTGTGTGGGCCCCAATGGAGAGAATTCTCCTTGCTTCCTGTCTCCATATGGTCCCTTCTGTATAAGCAGTCTGGCTGGATCTGCCTGTCCTTTTTTCGAGGCAGACCTGAACGGACTCACCTCTATGGGTAGTTGGATGTAAGGGACTTTACACCCAGCTACCTCTGATCTGATCCGGCAAAAATAAATGGAAGAGGAACCGTTACCCTCCGTCTGGCCAGATTGGATCAGAGGGCAGTCGGGTGTAAATAGTCCATTTACATCCAACTGCCCATAAAGGAGAGCAGGCTGTGTTCGTGTCCATTCCGCATAAGCAGAGTGGACATGGACCTGTCATCCAGCAGCTCCACTCAACTCAGCGGGAGATCAGCAGATAGATCCCCTGCTGAGCCAAACCCGGATCCGGCCTAATTATTGGGGCACCTTAACATGAATGAATGCACCACAACAGAACATTTAAGTGTGAATGGGCCCAGGGTTCATGTCAGACAGGAGATTTATTTGTAGTGATCCACTTTTTTTTTGTAAAGTGAATTCCAGCTAAGGAAATCATAGTTATTTTCTGTGGAATTGTTAACTCACTGATTTTACGGCAATCTGTAGCTCAGTTGTTCAACTGTTATTGTACAATCTCTGTACAATGGCCTTTAGATTATACATAAATGATGTAGTAGCAGGGGCGGACTGACCATTTGGGCACTCAGGTACTGCCCGAGGGCCCGGGGTCAGTAGGAAGCCCCATGAGATGCCCCTGGTACCGTTTTCATAGGCTTTTTTGAGTTTGGGCAAGGACACAGGGGCCCATGATCCCCTATTGCCCGGAGGCCCCATGAGTTGAAAGTCCACCCCTGTGTAGTACCATAGTCTATATCAGGGTTTCTCAACCAGTGTTCCATGGAACCCTGAGATATGTTCCCACTAACATCAATGATCTGTTTAGCTACATGTACAGTAAGGGGGAATTCTTCCCAATGATGACAAGTGTAAGGAGCATTCTTCCCACCAAATGACACACTTACGTATCATGAGTTGTAGATAAAGTAACTTTTAGCAGGGGTTCCCTGAGACCTGAAAGCTTTTTCAAGGGTTCCTCCATGTTTAAAAGGTTAAGACAGGTTGATCTACACAATCCTCTAGTAAATCTTGTCAGGTAGGTCCTTTTGTGGTTAGTAGTGTGTAGTGTGTGTGATCAGCTATAGTAGGATTCTACAGTTAGAGTGTAACATTTGTGGCCAGCTTGAAGATACTTGAAAATAAATATCTGCCATCCAATGCTTGGATGTAGGATCAGCAGATTGAGCTGTCAGTGTGGCAACATATATATTATCATCAAGCTTTTATTGTCAGCAGAGAGGTATACTGACCGTGATGGAAAACTTTGTACAATTTACTGTTGTTCTTTTGGCAGATGTAATAATAGTGCCACCTGGAATATGTCTGTCTCGCATACAGGCATGTGTAGTATCTAACCATCATTGTTTCCAAACTTTCAAACTACCATTTCTCTGTGGTGGTAAAAATGAGCACTGGAATATTTGTGGCTATCGTATCATATTTATCCTCAACCTGAAAAAAATGCAGTTATTATTATTATTATTATTATACAGTATTTATAAAGCGCCAATAGTTCGCTCAGCGCTGTACATTACAAAGTTCAATCCACAAAATTCATTCAGACAAATTTTTAGTACCCAGGAAACTAAAACTTTGGATAAAAATGACGTTATTGGAAATCAAAAACGGAATGTGGGAACTGCAAACCACCAAGAGATAAACGGGTCATTAATGTGACATTCCCATAAGCCTATGCTAATTTGCATTATCATGGTACATCAAACAGGCCCTTGTACTTTTCTTTTAACAATGTCACGTTAATAAGCTATCCAACACTCGAGTATGTCCAAACTTCATATGACATGCTTGGCACTGGGGTGTGATTACAAGCACCTTAACATTCATTAGATAACACTGAAGCCTGAGTCTCAGTTCCCACGCACTTAGAAAACATCTAGTGAGCCCTCTGGTATGTGAACTCATTTCTAGACATTAGATCTTCTTTTTGGCTGCATCCTTTAATAGCTATGCCAGTTCGTGCTATAAAGCAAGAGCTATGCCATGCTTTCTCATTCACAGTGATGGGTCTCTTCAAACCAAAAACCTAAAAAAAAAAAGCCATCAAGGTGGTCCGCTGGTCTTTCAAACTAAAAATGTGGCATCTAGGAGGCCCATTGGTGTTTCAAAACTGTTACACAGATGTCTGCAAAAGTTACAGTTAAGCACAATTTATTAGTATTAGATCAAACAGCCATAGTATAATCATTTGTTTGTATTTATCTTGCTTACTTGAACCTGTCATATGAGGCATTTCTGACACCTGACTCACCAAACCAGTCATTATAATAGAAAATGCATTTGTTTGTGTTTACGATGATCACGCAGCTTTTGCTTTGCTGTGTGCATGGTTTGACTGGGATGACATTTAGGCTCCATGCACACTAGCATTTTTTTTAAGCTTGAAAAACGCTGGATAAAAACACTGGTATTAGCATTTTTTAGTAGCATTTTAGTAGTGTTCAGAAGCATTATGAGCATTAGTGTTTCATTAGCGTTTTTACAGTACACATTGAGGAAAAAAGCAAGAAAAAAGTTGTTATGAGCGTTTTAGTAGTGTTTAGCAGTAGTGTTTAGAGAGTTGAATGTTTTTTTTTCTTCTGGAAAAACATTCAAAAAAACTTTTTTTTTTCTGCTCCTAGATGCTGAAGCTCAAAAAATTCCAATAGCCTAAAGTAGTGTGCATGGACACATAGCAGAACACTATTTAGCTTCTAGGTGCAGAAAGAAAAATGCTAATAACAGCTTCTAGGAGCTTACAAAAACGCTAGTGTGCATGGAGCCTTAAAGTGTATCTATGGTCAAAATGTAAATTTGTATATTGATTCTGCATTTTGTTTAAATTATTTCTAGCCTGCTCCAATTATCTGAATATCAGTGCCCATCACTGCCACCTGTCAGTGTCATTGATCAGTGCCAGTCAGTGCTGCCTATCAGTGCCTCATATCAGAGCCCATCGTTGCTGCCTTTCAGTGCCCATCAGTGCTGCCTGTCAATGCCCATCAGTGCCACCTATCAGTGCCCATCAGTGCCTCCTGTCAGTGCCAGTCAGTGCCGCCTATCAGTGCAATCAGTGCTGCCTTTCAGTGCCTATCAGTGATGCCTGTCAGTACCCATCAGTGCCACCTATCAGTACTGTCTATCAGTGCCGCCTATCACTGCCGCCTCATCAGCACACATCAGTGAAGGAGAAAAAAATACTTATTTACAAAATTGTATACCAGAAACTAAGAAAAACTTTTTTTATCAAAATTTTGTCTTTTTAATTTTGTTTAGCAAAAAATGAAAAACACAGTGGTGATTAAATACCAACAAAAAAAAGCTCTATTTGTCTCAAAAAAAATGAAAAAAAATTAGTTTGGATACAGTTTTGTATGACTGCGCAATTGTCATTCAAAGTGCAACAGCGCTGAAAGCTGAAAAATGGCCTGGGCAGGAAGGCTATGAAAGTGCCCGGTAGTCAAGTGGTTAAGATTGTTCAGATTTATCCATATACATACATACATACCCAAGTCTAATGCAGATCAAGCTGCCTGACCACAAACCCATATCAGCCTGGACACCTTAAATATACCCATATGTAATTATGCTGTTTTCTCCTACATAGTAAGAACAATTCCACAGACAGACCTTCTTGTCTGTGCACTAGCAGTTTAAAGTTGAACTAAACACAAAAGAAAACATGTATTATATTGTGGCTTACCATTTCTTAGACATGGTGGCTTCACTTGTTTTCTTTTTTAGCCTTTCTTTCTTTTATTTTCACCTGGTGATCCTGTGAGTACATCTGTTGTGTTTTCAACAGAGCAAGATGTCCTGCAGATGTAGAAGTTACAGGGATGAGACAAACCATTTAATACTGGCAGGGGTGCTTACAATGATCAGCTTTTATTTATTTATGTAAAATCTTTATTCCAAAAGGAGCAAAACTGTTGC